TGCCAGGGACTCGGCGGGCTGGCCTCTGCCTCCGGCCGGCGCCTCTGGCAGCTGCGGGATTCCCCGCGGGGCTCCCAGGGCTCTGTGCCCCAGCTCAGGGGGGACTCTGCCGAGGGCACGGGGGAGGTCTGCCAGGGCCCCTCGGTGTCCGGGGGGCTGGCCTCTGCCTCCCGCCGGCGGCTCGGCGGGGTGCAGGGTGGCGAGGAGCCCGGGGCCATGGGTGAACCCAGGGAAGATCCTGGCCCAGCACCTGGCGGGCTGGGCGCTGGGGCTGATGCTTCCTGCTTGGGCCGGGCCCAGGGACCCAGAAGCCTGGGGATGGTTGGAGAATAGCTGGGGTCCTCGGGAGAGTCCCAGGGGGCTGCCGCTGACGCCAGGGGCGACCCTGCGCAAGACATGGGGGATCTCTGCCACGGGCCGCTGGTGTCCCAAGGACTGTCTTCCGACTCCCCGCGGGGTCTGGGAGGCGTGCTGGGCGACGAGCAGCTGGGGCCCGCGGACGACTCCACGAGGGGAGGGCGCGAAGGACTCGGCGACGACAGGACGAGCATATGGTACCTCGTGGTGAAGCCAGGGGACAGCGAGGACACCACGTGGGAAGAAGCTGACGGCGAGCCCCCTGAATCCGGTGGTGACTGCCCTGTGGTCTCTCCCCAGGGAAGCGGGAAATCCAAGGAGGGCGCTGGAGGTAGAACCGCCCAGGTGCTCGGCCTGGGGGTGGAGGGAAACTGCCCCTGCGGTGCCCCTGCTGAGGCGTCGCCTCTGCAGCCTGAGAGGCCGGGGGAGCCCGGCCCACCTTGAGGGTAGTGAAGGCCACAGGACGCTCGGGGGCGAGAGACGTCCATTGTGCCTGTCTCCTCACGCGCCAACTGCAGAAAACCTTTGGCTTGTAGGGACACCCTGACCCCACACCCCTTTTCCTCCTTCTTCCCCTCCTCCACCGCCCTCGACCAAAATGGGGGATGAGGTGCGTCTAGGTGTGCTCGCGCGCGCAGCGTGTGTCCGGGTAGCGGTTCCCTGAATGCGTGGGCGAGCGCTTGAAGGGTCAAGGATGGAATGCCTCCCCACTCCCCCCCCCCACCACCTCCCCCACCTCCCCCAGCACACCCACCAAAAACAAGAGCAAAAGCAAAACTCCCCACACCACCCAGCAGCTCAGATATAAGAACAAAAGGACAGACCTCGACTCAGGCTTTCCCTCCTTCTGTCTTGGCAGTGGGCTTCCAGGTGGCAGGACGCTGTGAGCACCGGGCACAGGGAGAAGGTCAGACCGAAGTGTCCCTCCTCTGCGTGTCCGTGGCCAAACAGAGACCCAGGGAGCCCAGGGCCAGGCCTTAAGTAACCTCGGCCGGGTGGGGGGCGGTGGGCGGGGATTGAGAGGCCAAAGGGGTGGAGCCTCGGCCCTGGCCTCCGCCCACGCCTGAACGACTGCACTCTCCTGGCCACCGACCAGCTGAGAAGGCTCAAATTGTCCCCCAGCGGAAGCAGAGACATTGTGGAGGACCTGGACGGGTAATGGCCTAGGATGCGTGCCCTGACCTGTTCCCCCAGAGGGTGTGGGCCGCAGCAGTCCTGCTAGAGAGAGGCTACTCTTGTTTGCCTGGGGATATCTAGCCAAAACTTCCTTCAAGCTTCAACCGCACCGTGCCACCCCATCCCGCTTACTAAGCTCGGTCAAAGCGCCCTATGGCCAAGGGCATCGTTTTTGAGAAAGAACAACTTGTCTCCCCTTCCCACCCCACTCCAGCCCACAAAGCATCCGAGAAGGGCAGCGTTGAGAAGGGAAGGGTTGAGGAGGGTGAGTGGAGGCAAGAGGAGCCTGGCTGTGAGTGGTGGTCCTGCCGGGCGCAGTTGCCAATGCCGCCCTGGACTTGCAGCTGCAGCAGTGGAGCGGAAGGGCCTGCCGCGGGATCAAGCAGGTCAGGCTGGGCTCAGCGCACTGTGCCTCCCGCCCAAACCGAGAAGAATTGAAGTGGGGTAAGGCCCCTGGCAGAGATGGGAGCTGCGCCCTGGTCATGGGCACCAGGGTTCCCAAGCATGAAGCCTTTTGGCAAGCACCCGAAGTGTCCAGGGCAAAGGAAAAGTGCGTGGGCGCCGACGAGCTGCTGTGTCCGCCCAAATGCGTTTTCTCCTCCCACCTCTCACAAAGAAGACGCTTTCCTGCGTGGTGCAAGCCACACGGCTGAGCCTGGAGGAGACCGATACCGGCGGAAAGAAGCCAGTCCCCAGAGGGCTGTGCCTCCAGTGGGGCTCGTTCCTCTGACCCACGCCTCCTCATTCAGGCCGGGGCGCGCCGTGGGCTGGGATGTGGGGCGGGCGGATGGATGGATGATGCGGAGATCAGCTAGCCTGGCCTCTCCTTGGGCCTGGCCTTGAACTTGGCTTGGCGGTGCTCAGGCTTTCCCTGATAGCTCTTTTGGGAAAGGATCCGCCTGCAATGCAGTAGGCCCCGGTTCGATTCCCGTGTTGGGAAGATCCGCTGGAGAAGCGAGAAAGCTACCGCCTGGCCTCCAGAACGAGTCCACGGGGACGCAGAGCGTCTTGGACAGGACGGTGTGTGCGTGCATGCGTGTGTGCGCACGGGTGCCCGAAGCGCAGCGGGGGGATAGACCTTTTGCCCTGGCATGATCATGGGGCGGGATGCAGTGTCACTAGGGCGGGTGGCTCCAATTCTGTCTTTCCTCCTCTTCGGATCAGTTACCAGCCCACTGGAGGGGCAGGGGCGGCGGGTGAGGAGGGGGCGGCAAAGAATCCCGTGGAGCGAGTGGGCTTTCACGGGCACGCCGGTGCCACAGAACCCCAAGGTCCACGTTGGGCTTGGTGGGCCGTTGGGGGGGGGGGGCTTTGGTGTGAGGTCCTGCCTCGCAGCAGGTGGGATCAAGCCCAGGCTCAGGGGCCCTGCGCAGTGCACAGAGTCCTAACGGCCGGGGAAATCCCCGAGGTCCCTTTGAAGGTGCCGCCCACGCCCCCCTTCCCAGCCTGCCTTGCCTCGCCAAACTCTCTGGGTTTGCCCGCCTTTTCACGTTCCACACAGACCTTGGCCTCAATTGCCTCCGCAGGCTCCTCCCAGGCATTCCTGGACACGGGAGGCTCTCTCCAGTGCCTCCACCTAGGTCCCTCGCATTCCTTGCCTCCCTTGCCCACGTCCCTCCCCAGCTCCTCCCTGCCCTCCTGGCGTCCTTTCTGGACAGCAGTCCCAGTCCACCGCGCCCCCAGGCCTTTGAGTTGCCGGGAGCTCAAGTCTACTGCCAGAGACGTGATGGGCCAGCGTCTCCAATGGCAGCTCACGCCATCTGGGGCTTCTTCAGGTGGAGCCTGATGCCCGCATCCCCCCAGCCCACCCCCCACCCCGACTACCCTGGAGAGACCCTGGAGAGGGGAGAGTGTGCCCCCTATTCTTAGGAAGGAGGTTGCACTAAGCCAAGGAAGGAAGCAAGCACGTTCTGGACAGAACGAAGCCCTGTCCTGTGCCAACAACGGGACATGGAGAGAGAGTGTGCTTTCTTCAAGAGACGGAAGGTGGAGAGAAGGAGGAGGCAATCAGGAGGCAGGAGCAGACAAAGATGCAAGAAGGCTGCGTGAAGCAACGCGGGGGATGGACGATGAGCGGCACTTCTCCTTTCGCTCTGAACAGGTCCCAAAGAATTGCAAAGAAACGAGCGGAACCACACCACCACACCCGCCGCCATCGTTAGCAATGTATTCTTTGGCCACCCAGGTTTCTAGACCCAGCCACGGGTTTCCATGAGAACAGTCAGGGCTTTGTATGGACTTCAAAACCTTTGGGTTTGCGAGGAAATCATGTCTGTATGTCTCCGAGTGGTGGGGGGATGCTGGTGGCAGGCCGAGCTCAGCCACTGCACTCTGAGGGTCAGAGAGACACACGGAGATGGTTGGCCTTTGCAGCTATGCTGGGCATGTGTGTTCACATGGAGTCTGGTCGTGAAAGCGGTTGTGTGGGTAGGTCCCTACTGCTGGCTCAGAGGATCGAACCTCGGGAATCCCGCCCAGAGCAGGCACCCCGAAACCGAGGGAAGCGTGTCCCTGACGGAGTGTTTTAGGGATACCTGCAGGATCCGCCAGGGGCTTGAAGCTGAGCCCCAGGCGTGGCCTCCTCGCCGCTCCCCCGCCCCTCCTCTCCCTCCCTCCCACCCTCCATCCCCAACTCTCCCTGCCTCCCTTCTCTCTCTCCCTCCCTCCCTCTCCCACTGAACCTTCCCCAAACCTCTCCGTTCACCCCCACTCTCTCCCTTCCCACCCACCCTGTCCCTCCACCCACTCGCCCCCTCCCACCTTGCATCTCCCAGCCTCGCACCTTCCCACTCGTCTATCTCCGGCTCCTCCTCCCTCTGCTGCCCTTGGCCTTGGCAAGGCATTCTCCCGCAAGGACTTCTGGAAAGATGAGACCAGAAGACACGAGAGCCAGACCGAAGGAACCTGTGCGGGGCACAGGGGTTCTTTGTTGGCTCCATGGCATGTCCCCTCGTAATCAGCTTCTTGTCACTGGGATCCTCGGGCTCCTTGGGGCTTCGGGTAGGGTGTCGTTCTCGGGGGTGGGGGTGGGGTATGGCCCATGCTTCCCAAAGGTCCCGCTGTCGTGTTTGTCCCCAGTGTTGTTGGTAGACATCCCGTCTGTATTCTCTCCCCCCACCGAAAACCGCCCCCCTCCCCGAGCTCCATGGCTCCGCATCCCAGGCCAGCAGACCTGAAAGGGGCTCGGGGGAGAAGGTGCCCCTGCCGTCCTCCCCCTCTAGCCCTGAGGACCTGTGGAGCCTGGCAGCGTGTCGAGGAGGGCCTGGTACTAGTCCTCACTGAGGGGTGCTTCCAGGATGGCCTCAACGCCTCCTTCCTCCGCAGCGGCCCGGGGGGAAGACCGGGGCGCGTCCCGGATGGCCCTGGCAGCCAATCCTTCCTCTAAGAGGCTGTGTGGCCCAGGGAGGGCTGGGTGGTCCCCTGCGACGACAGTAGAGGACCCCGGGGAAGGACCCGGAGGGCCCGGGATGCACGTGGCAGCCAGGAGCTCCTCCTGGAGGCTGGGTGAGCCTGGGAGGCCGAGGTGTGCCCGTGCGTCCGCAGAGGCCCTCAGAGAAGGCCCCGTCATGTCCAGGACGCCCGTGGCCCCCAAGAGCTCCTCTAGCAGGCTTGTGGGGCTTGGCCGGCTGGCTGGCTGGGGCTGTGGCTCTATCGGAGGGGCCGTGCCTTCACCATAGGGTGACTCCGGCCCCCCTGCGGGATGTGTGTCTCAGGCTGTACAGGCGGCAGGATGGCCCCTGGCCCAGGCTGCCCAGGGGCCGTGAGAGCAGGGGAGCACTCGGCCCAGGAAACTCTTACCTGGCGAGGAGGTGGTGGAGGAAGACACCCATGCCAGGGGAAAGGAGCCAGTCCCCGGCGGCCTGTGCCTCTCCTGGGGCTGGTTTCTCTGACCTGCGCCTCCTCATTGATGCTGGGCCGCGCCTTTGGCTGGGATGAGGCGGACTGAGGGGTGGCTGGCGGATGGCCAGGAGATCCGCTAGCCTGTCCTCTCCTGGGGGCATGGCCTTGAACTTGGCCTGCCGGTGCTCAGGGCTTCCCTGATAGCTCAGTTGGTAAAAGATCTGCCTGCAAAGCAGGAGACGCGGGTTGGGCCCCTGCGTTGGGAAGATCCGCTGCAGAAGGGAGAAAGCTAGCATCTGGCCTTCAGAACTAATCCAGGGGTTTGCATGGCGTCAGACAGGGCGGTGTGCTTCAGACAGGGCAGTGTGCGCGTCAGACAATGCGGTGTGTGCATCAGACAGGGCGGTGTCTGATGGTGCGTGCGCTCTCTCAAGAAGCAAAGCTATCTGGGAATAGACCTTTTGCCTGTGGCGGGGAGGGGCGGAGCGGGAGCGTGGCTCGAAGGCTCCCCATCTCACCTCGAATTTGGCACCCATGTCGCTTAGCTCTCAGTCGACGCCTAGACGTCTCCTGCTTGCTTGAGATCCCCGGCGGCTCACCACCACCTCCTACCGCGAGCACCCTGGTCCTTCTCCCACGACCGAGTGAGTCGGGAGTGCGCGGGTGCCCCGCCTAGGCTGCACCCATGTGCTCCTCTTCTCTCTCTGCTAAGACACAGGGTTCCTTTGAGCACGTCCAGGCTGGCTTGAGAGGCTCAGAGGCGGAGGGAGGGAGGGAGGCAGGGAGGGACAGACGGACCGCTTAGCAATTCATCGGGGAGGGGGCGCTGGCAACAAAGAGCCCTCCTGTCCCCGCCCCCGCCAGAGGTGCCCTAGAAGCTTAGGGGGCCTAGGCCAGGCCACCAGCGACGGGGAGCCCGTGCGCCTGAAGGTGGGAGGCGGCAGGCGGCAGGAGGGGGCCGTCGAGGTCAGCGTCCTCTGCAGCGTAGCTCGCGAGCACGCCGCGGGCTCCCGCTCCGTGGGAGGTCCGGCTCAGGGGTGCTGAGGTCGGGCGAGAGAGGCTTCCCTCCGGCGCCTCAGGGCCTGACAGTAGCAAGCGGAAGAGCAAGGGTGTGAGCGGCGAGGCCGCCTGGCGGGAGGGCCTCTGTGGCGGGGACGTGTGTGACGTTGACCGGCGCCGTGGAGAGACCGGCGAGACCCAGGCTCCGGTGTGCCCGACCCTTGGCCAGGGCGTGGCGGGAAGAAGCCGTCAGGGGGAGCGGCGGGAACACCCCGGCTCCATCCCGCTGGGAAGCCAGGTGAGCCTGGGAACCCGGGAAAAGAGGCCGGAGTCCCTGCCGGGGAAACGGCAAAGGGTAGGCAGTCAAGCCATGAGGTCTGTGCCAGAACGGGCCTTTCCAGCCTGGAAGCGGCCCGCTCTGGCGGGCAGGTGGCGGCTGTGGAAGACGAGCGTGGAGCCATGGGAGAGCCCCAGCTCGCTGCGGGGGAGCCCAGAGGAGACTCCGCCCAAGAGGCGCGAGAGGTCGGCCAGAGCCCGGGCGGCAGGCTGGGCTCTGCCTCCCGCCAGGGCCTCGGAGGAGTGCAGGGGGCCCCGGGGGTCTCCCAGGTGCCTGCACCCCAGCTCTCGGGAGACTCTGCCGAGGAGACGGGGGAGGTCTGCCAGGGCCCCGGGGCACCGGGCGGGCTGCGCTCTGCGTCCCGCCGGCCCCTCCGAGGGGTGCAGGGCGGCGATGACATGGCGGCCTCGGGGGGCTCGGCAGGGTCAGGGCCCCAGTCCAGGGGATACTCCTCCGAAGAGACCGGGGAGGTCTGCCAGGTCCCCGGGGCACCGGGCCGGCTGCGCTCTGCGTCCCGCCGGCCCCTCCGAGGGGTGCAGGGCGGTGACGAGATGGCCTCGGGGGGCTCGGCAGGGTCAGGGCCCCAGTCCAGGGGATACTCCTCCGAAGAGACCGGGGAGGTCTGCCAGGTCCCTGGGGCACCGTGCGGGCTGCCCTCTGCGTCCCGCCGGCCCCTCTGAGGTGTGCAAGGCGGCGAGAAGAGGGCGGCCTCGGGGGGCTCGGCAGGGTCAGGGCCCCAGCCCAAAGGACATTCCTCCAACGAGACGGGGGAGGTCTGCCAGGGATATGGGGAGCTGCCCGCTGAGACCCGCCGCGGGCTCGGCGGGATGCAGGGCGGCCAGGAGCTGGGGACGTCGGGGGGCTCCTCGGGGTCTGGGTGCCAGCCCCTGGGAGACTCCACGGAAGAGACCGGGGAGGTCTGCCAGGGGCCCGGCGGGCTGGGCTCTGCCTCGCGCCGGCGACTCTGGCCTCTGCAGGGCTCCTCGCGGGGCTCCCAGCGGCCTGCGACCCAGCTCAGGGGAGACCCGGACGAAGACACGGGGGAGGTCTGCCAGGGCCCCGGGGCGCCCGCTGGGCTGCCCTCTGCGTCGCGCCGGCCCGTCCGATGGGTGCAGGGCGGCCAAGAGCTGGCGGCCTCGGGGGGCTCGCCTGGGTTGCGGCCCCAGCTCAGGGCAGACCCCGTCAAGGAGATCGGGGAGGTCTGCCCGGGACGCGCGGAGCTGCCGTCTGGGACCAGACAGCGGCTTGGTGGGCTGCAGGGCTGGCAGGAGCTGGGGGAGTCGGGGGGCTCCCCGGGGTCCGCCACCCAGCACATGGAAGACTCTGCGGAAGAGACCGGGGAGGTGTGCCAGGGACTCGGCGGGCTGGCCTCTGCCTCCGGCCGGCGCCTCTGGCAGCTGCGGGATTCCCCGCGGGGCTCCCAGGGCTCTGTGCCCCAGCTCAGGGGGGACTCTGCCGAGGGCACGGGGGAGGTCTGCCAGGGCCCCTCGGTGTCCGGGGGGCTGGCCTCTGCCTCCCGCCGGCGGCTCGGCGGGGTGCAGGGTGGCGAGGAGCCCGGGGCCATGGGTGAACCCAGGGAAGATCCTGGCCCAGCACCTGGCGGGCTGGGCGCTGGGGCTGATGCTTCCTGCTTGGGCCGGGCCCAGGGACCCAGAAGCCTGGGGATGGTTGGAGAATAGCTGGGGTCCTCGGGAGAGTCCCAGGGGGCTGCCGCTGACGCCAGGGGCGACCCTGCGCAAGACATGGGGGATCTCTGCCACGGGCCGCTGGTGTCCCAAGGACTGTCTTCCGACTCCCCGCGGGGTCTGGGAGGCGTGCTGGGCGACGAGCAGCTGGGGCCCGCGGACGACTCCACGAGGGGAGGGCGCGAAGGACTCGGCGACGACAGGACGAGCATATGGTACCTCGTGGTGAAGCCAGGGGACAGCGAGGACACCACGTGGGAAGAAGCTGACGGCGAGCCCCCTGAATCCGGTGGTGACTGCCCTGTGGTCTCTCCCCAGGGAAGCGGGAAATCCAAGGAGGGCGCTGGAGGTAGAACCGCCCAGGTGCTCGGCCTGGGGGTGGAGGGAAACTGCCCCTGCGGTGCCCCTGCTGAGGCGTCGCCTCTGCAGCCTGAGAGGCCGGGGGAGCCCGGCCCACCTTGAGGGTAGTGAAGGCCACAGGACGCTCGGGGGCGAGAGACGTCCATTGTGCCTGTCTCCTCACGCGCCAACTGCAGAAAACCTTTGGCTTGTGGGGACACCCTGACCCCACACCCCTTTTCCTCCTTCTTCCCCTCCTCCACCGCCCTCGACCAAAATGGGGGATGAGGTGCGTCTAGGTGTGCTCGCGCGCGCAGCGTGTGTCCGGGTAGCGGTTCCCTGAATGCGTGGGCGAGCGCTTGAAGGGTCAAGGATGGAATGCCTCCCCACTCCCCCCCCCACCACCTCCCCCACCTCCCCCAGCACACCCACCAAAAACAAGAGCAAAAGCAAAACTCCCCACACCACCCAGCAGCTCAGATATAAGAACAAAAGGACAGACCTCGACTCAGGCTTTCCCTCCTTCTGTCTTGGCAGTGGGCTTCCAGGTGGCAGGACGCTGTGAGCACCGGGCACAGGGAGAAGGTCAGACCGAAGTGTCCCTCCTCTGCGTGTCCGTGGCCAAACAGAGACCCAGGGAGCCCAGGGCCAGGCCTTAAGTAACCTCGGCCGGGTGGGGGGCGGTGGGCGGGGATTGAGAGGCCAAAGGGGTGGAGCCTCGGCCCTGGCCTCCGCCCACGCCTGAACGACTGCACTCTCCTGGCCACCGACCAGCTGAGAAGGCTCAAATTGTCCCCCAGCGGAAGCAGAGACATTCTGGAGGACCTGGACGGGTACTGGCCTAGGATGCGTGCCCTGACCTGTTCCCCCAGAGGGTGTGGGCCGCAGCAGTCCTGCTAGAGAGAGGCTACTCTTGTTTGCCTGGGGATATCTAGCCAAAACTTCCTTCAAGCTTCAACCGCACCGTGCCACCCCATCCCGCTTACTAAGCTCGGTCAAAGCGCCCTATGGCCAAGGGCATCGTTTTTGAGAAAGAACAACTTGTCTCCCCTTCCCACCCCACTCCAGCCCACAAAGCATCCGAGAAGGGCAGCGTTGAGAAGGGAAGGGTTGAGGAGGGTGAGTGGAGGCAAGAGGAGCCTGGCTGTGAGTGGTGGTCCTGCCGGGCGCAGTTGCCAATGCCGCCCTGGACTTGCAGCTGCAGCAGTGGAGCGGAAGGGCCTGCCGCGGGATCAAGCAGGTCAGGCTGGGCTCAGCGCACTGTGCCTCCCGCCCAAACCGAGAAGAATTGAAGTGGGGTAAGGCCCCTGGCAGAGATGGGAGCTGCGCCCTGGTCATGGGCACCAGGGTTCCCAAGCATGAAGCCTTTTGGCAAGCACCCGAAGTGTCCAGGGCAAAGGAAAAGTGCGTGGGCGCCGACGAGCTGCTGTGTCCGCCCAAATGCGTTTTCTCCTCCCACCTCTCACAAAGAAGACGCTTTCCTGCGTGGTGCAAGCCACACGGCTGAGCCTGGAGGAGACCGATACCGGCGGAAAGAAGCCAGTCCCCAGAGGGCTGTGCCTCCAGTGGGGCTCCTTCCTCTGACCCACGCCTCCTCATTCAGGCCGGGGCGCGCCGTGGGCTGGGATGTGGGGCGGGCGGATGGATGGATGATGCGGAGATCAGCTAGCCTGGCCTCTCCTTGGGCCTGGCCTTGAACTTGGCTTGGCGGTGCTCAGGCTTTCCCTGATAGCTCTTTTGGGAAAGGATCCGCCTGCAATGCAGTAGGCCCCGGTTCGATTCCCGTGTTGGGAAGATCCGCTGGAGAAGCGAGAAAGCTACCGCCTGGCCTCCAGAACGAGTCCACGGGGACGCAGAGCGTCTTGGACAGGACGGTGTGTGCGTGCATGCGTGTGTGCGCACGGGTGCCCGAAGCGCAGCGGGGGGATAGACCTTTTGCCCTGGCATGATCATGGGGCGGGATGCAGTGTCACTAGGGCGGGTGGCTCCAATTCTGTCTTTCCTCCTCTTCGGATCAGTTACCAGCCCACTGGAGGGGCAGGGGCGGCGGGTGAGGAGGGGGCGGCAAAGAATCCCGTGGAGCGAGTGGGCTTTCACGGGCACGCCGATGCCACAGAACCCCAAGGTCCACGTTGGGCTTGGTGGGCCGTTGGGGGGGGGGCTTTGGTGTGAGGTCCTGCCTCGCAGCAGGTGGGATCAAGCCCAGGCTCAGGGGCCCTGCGCAGTGCACAGAGTCCTAACGGCCGGGGAAATCCCCGAGGTCCCTTTGAAGGTGCCGCCCACGCCCCCCTTCCCAGCCTGCCTTGCCTCGCCAAACTCTCTGGGTTTGCCCGCCTTTTCACGTTCCACACAGACCTTGGCCTCAATTGCCTCCGCAGGCTCCTCCCAGGCATTCCTGGACACGGGAGGCTCTCTCCAGTGCCTCCACCTAGGTCCCTCGCATTCCTTGCCTCCCTTGCCCACGTCCCTCCCCTGCTCCTCCCTGCCCTCCTGGCGTCCTTTCTGGACAGCAGTCCCAGTCCACCGCGCCCCCAGGCCTTTGAGTTGCCGGGAGCTCAAGTCTACTGCCAGAGACGTGATGGGCCAGCGTCTCCAATGGCAGCTCACGCCATCTGGGGCTTCTTCAGGTGGAGCCTGATGCCCGCATCCCCCCAGCCCACCCCCCACCCCGACTACCCTGGAGAGACCCTGGAGAGGGGAGAGTGTGCCCTCTATTCTTAGGAAGGAGGTTGCACTAAGCCAAGGAAGGAAGCAAGCACGTTCTGGACAGAACGAAGCCCTGTCCTGTGCCAACAACGGGACATGGAGAGAGAGTGTGCTTTCTTCAAGAGACGGAAGGTGGAGAGGAGAAGGAGGAGGCAATCAGGAGGCAGGAGCAGACAAAGATGCAAGAAGGCTGCGTGAAGCAACGCGGGGGATGGACGATGAGCGGCACTTCTCCTTTCGCTCTGAACAGGTCCCAAAGAATTGCAAAGAAACGAGCGGAACCACACCACCACACCCGCCGCCATCGTTAGCAATGTATTCTTTGGCCACCCAGGTTTCTAGACCCAGCCACGGGTTTCCATGAGAACAGTCAGGGCTTTGTATGGACTTCAAAACCTTTGGGTTTGCGAGGAAATCATGTCTGTATGTCTCCGAGTGGTGGGGGGATGCTGGTGGCAGGCCGAGCTCAGCCACTGCACTCTGAGGGTCAGAGAGACACACGGAGATGGTTGGCCTTTGCAGCTATGCTGGGCATGTGTGTTCACATGGAGTCTGGTCGTGAAAGCGGTTGTGTGGGTAGGTCCCTACTGCTGGCTCAGAGGATCGAACCTCGGGAATCCCGCCCAGAGCAGGCACCCCGAAACCGAGGGAAGCGTGTCCCTGACGGAGTGTTTTAGGGATACCTGCAGGATCCGCCAGGGGCTTGAAGCTGAGCCCCAGGCGTGGCCTCCTCGCCGCTCCCCCGCCCCTCCTCTCCCTCCCTCCCACCCTCCATCCCCAACTCTCCCTGCCTCCCTTCTCTCTCTCCCTCCCTCCCTCTCCCACTGAACCTTCCCCAAACCTCTCCGTTCACCCCCACTCTCTCCCTTCCCACCCACCCTGTCCCTCCACCCACTCGCCCCCTCCCACCTTGCATCTCCCAGCCTCGCACCTTCCCACTCGTCTATCTCCGGCTCCTCCTCCCTCTGCTGCCCTTGGCCTTGGCAAGGCATTCTCCCGCAAGGACTTCTGGAAAGATGAGACCAGAAGACACGAGAGCCAGACCGAAGGAACCTGTGCGGGGCACAGGGGTTCTTTGTTGGCTCCATGGCATGTCCCCTCGTAATCAGCTTCTTGTCACTGGGATCCTCGGACTCCTTGGGGCTTCGGGTAGGGTGTCGTTCTCGGGGGTGGGGGTGGGGTATGGCCCATGCTTCCCAAAGGTCCCGCTGTCGTGTTTGTCCCCAGTGTTGTTGGTAGACATCCCGTCTGTATTCTCTCCCCCCACCGAAAACCGCCCCCCTCCCCGAGCTCCATGGCTCCGCATCCCAGGCCAGCAGACCTGAAAGGGGCTCGGGGGAGAAGGTGCCCCTGCCGTCCTCCCCCTCTAGCCCTGAGGACCTGTGGAGCCTGGCAGCGTGTCGAGGAGGGCCTGGTACTAGTCCTCACTGAGGGGTGCTTCCAGGATGGCCTCAACGCCTCCTTCCTCCGCAGCGGCCCGGGGGGAAGACCGGGGCGCGTCCCGGATGGCCCTGGCAGCCAATCCTTCCTCTAAGAGGCTGTGTGGCCCAGGGAGGGCTGGGTGGTCCCCTGCGACGACAGTAGAGGACCCCGGGGAAGGACCCGGAGGGCCCGGGATGCACGTGGCAGCCAGGAGCTCCTCCTGGAGGCTGGGTGAGCCTGGGAGGCCGAGGTGTGCCCGTGCGTCCGCAGAGGCCCTCAGAGAAGGCCCCGTCATGTCCAGGACGCCCGTGGCCCCCAAGAGCTCCTCTAGCAGGCTTGTGGGGCTTGGCCGGCTGGCTGGCTGGGGCTGTGGCTCTATCGGAGGGGCCGTGCCTTCACCATAGGGTGACTCCGGCCCCCCTGCGGGATGTGTGTCTCAGGCTGTACAGGCGGCAGGATGGCCCCTGGCCCAGGCTGCCCAGGGGCCGTGAGAGCAGGGGAGCACTCGGCCCAGGAAACTCTTACCTGGCGAGGAGGTGGTGGAGGAAGACACCCATGCCAGGGGAAAGGAGCCAGTCCCCGGCGGCCTGTGCCTCTCCTGGGGCTGGTTTCTCTGACCTGCGCCTCCTCATTGACGCTGGGCCGCGCCTTTGGCTGGGATGAGGCGGACTGAGGGGTGGCTGGCGGATGGCCAGGAGATCCGCTAGCCTGTCCTCTCCTGGGGGCATGGCCTTGAACTTGGCCTGCCGGTGCTCAGGGCTTCCCTGATAGCTCAGTTGGTAAAAGATCTGCCTGCAAAGCAGGAGACGCGGGTTGGGCCCCTGCGTTGGGAAGATCCGCTGCAGAAGGGAGAAAGCTAGCATCTGGCCTTCAGAACTAATCCAGGGGTTTGCATGGCGTCAGACAGGGCGGTGTGCTTCAGACAGGGCAGTGTGCGCGTCAGACAATGCGGTGTGTGCATCAGACAGGGCGGTGTGTGCGTGCGCTCTCTCAAGAAGCAAAGCTATCTGGGAATAGACCTTTTGCCTGTGGCGGGGAGGGGCGGAGCGGGAGCGTGGCTCGAAGGCTCCCCATCTCACCTCGAATTTGGCACCCATGTCGCTTAGCTCTCAGTCGACGCCTAGACGTCTCCTGCTTGCTTGAGATCCCCGGCGGCTCACCACCACCTCCTACCGCGAGCACCCTGGTCCTTCTCCCACGACCGAGTGAGTCGGGAGTGCGCGGGTGCCCCGCCTAGGCTGCACCCATGTGCTCCTCTTCTCTCTCTGCTAAGACACAGGGTTCCTTTGAGCACGTCCAGGCTGGCTTGAGAGGCTCAGAGGCGGAGGGAGGGAGGGAGGCAGGGAGGGACAGACGGACCGCTTAGCAATTCATCGGGGAGGGGGCGCTGGCAACAAAGAGCCCTCCTGTCCCCGCCCCCGCCAGAGGTGCCCTAGAAGCTTAGGGGGCCTAGGCCAGGCCACCAGCGACGGGGAGCCCGTGCGCCTGAAGGTGGGAGGCGGCAGGCGGCAGGAGGGGGCCGTCGAGGTCAGCGTCCTCTGCAGCGTAGCTCGCGAGCACGCCGCGGGCTCCCGCTCCGTGGGAGGTCCGGCTCAGGGGTGCTGAGGTCGGGCGAGAGAGGCTTCCCTCCGGCGCCTCAGGGCCTGACAGTAGCAAGCGGAAGAGCAAGGGTGTGAGCGGCGAGGCCGCCTGGCGGGAGGGCCTCTGTGGCGGGGACGTGTGTGACATTGACCGGCGCCGTGGAGAGACCGGCGAGACCCAGGCTCCGGTGTGCCCGACCCTTGGCCAGGGCGTGGCAGGAAGAAGCCGTCAGGGGGAGCGGCGGGAACACCCCGGCTTCATCCCGCTGGGAAGCCAGGTGAGCCTGGGAACCCGGGAAAAGAGGCCGGAGTCCCTGCCGGGGAAACGGCAAAGGGTAGGCAGTCAAGCCATGAGGTGCCTCTCTGGGCACACCTGACGCCTGGAAACCAGGGGCCCAGCCGATCGGTCCCTGGCTTTCTTGGCGGTCAGTCGACACGTTTGCAGTGAACCCTTGGCCGGGCTATCCACAGACCCACCCCCCACCCCCACCCCGAGACCTGATCCGACCCCAGGGAGCGAGGGCAAACGTAACGCCTGAGGTGCTGGAGGAGCTGGACGAAGCCATGGTGGGAGAGCCACAGGGACGCTGCAGACTGCCTTCTCAGTGGGCCAGGACCCAGCTGCTCGGGACTTTGGATAGGGTGAGGCAGCCCCGCCCCTATTGACGTCAATCGTGGTGGGTGCTTAGTCAGAGGGGACGCCCCTGGCCTCCAAGCAGAGACCCTGGAAAGAATCCCATGGAGCCAGTGGGCTTTCACGGGCACGGCCCGCGACCCAGACTCCCAAGGTCCACGTTGGCCTGGGGGCGGTGGGCGTTGGGGGTTTTGGTGTGTGGCCCTGCCACGCAGCAGCTGGAATCAACCCCAGGCTCGGGGGCCCTCCGCAGTGCACAGAGTCCTAACTGCACGGGAATTCCCCTAGGTCCCTTTGAAGTTGCCGCCCACGCCCCCTTTCCCAGCCTGCCTTGCCTTCCGAAACGCCCTGGCTTTTCCCGCCTTTTCACATTCCACATATACGTTGGACTCAATGGCCTCCGCCGGCTCCTCCGGAGCATTCCCGGACACTGGACACTCTCTCCAGTGCCTCCTCCTAGCTGCCTTAAATCCTTGCCTCCCTTTTCCACATTCCTCCCCACCTCCTCGGTGCCCCCCTGGCATCCTTTCCCGACAGCAGTCCCAGTCCACCGCCCTGCCCACACCCACCCCACGCCCACCCCCACCAAATACACCCAAGTCTTTGACTTGCCAGAAACCCAAGTCTACTGCGAGAGAAGTGATGGGCCAGTGTCTCGAATGGCAACTCACACCGTTTGGGGCTTTTTCAGGTGCACCCTGATGCTTGCACCTCCCCAGCCCACCCCCTACTCAAAGTGCCCTGGGGAGACCTCGGAAACGGGACACTGTACCCACTACTCTTAGGAAGGTGGTTCCACTAAGCCAAGGAAGGAAGCATGCACGTTCTGGACGGAGAGGCGCCCTGACCTGTGCCAACAACTGGACGTGGAAATAGTGTGTGCTTTCTTAAAGAAACGGAGGGCAGAGAGGAGAAGGAGGAGGGAATCAGGAGGCAGGAGCAGACACAGGAGGGAGGAGGTTGCATGAGGCCACACGGGGGATGGCTCTGAACAGGTTCCAATGAATTGAAAAGAAATGAACGAACCACAACACCACACCCACAGCCATCTTTCCCAATGGATTCTTTGGCCACGCAGGTCTCTAAAGCCAACCACGGGGGCTTCACATGGGAACAGTCAGGGGGTTGTATGTACATCGAATCCACCGTGTCTATGAATTCAGGAACGGGTTTGCAAGGAAATCATGCCTGTATGTCTGCGGGTGATGCGGGGATGCTGGTGGCAGGGCGAGCTGAGTCACTACACCGTGAGGATCAGAGAGACACACGGAGATGATTGGCCTTTGCAGCTCTACCAGGCATGTGTGTTGACATGGAGTCTGGTCGTGAAAGCGGTTGTGTGGGTAGGTCCCTACTGCTGGCTCAGAGGATCTGACCTCGGGAAACCCGCCCAGACCAGGCACCCCGAAACCGAGGGAAGCATGTCCCTGACGGAGTATTTTAGGGATACCTGCAGGGATGGCCAGTGGCTAGAAGCTGAGTCCCAGACGGGGGCCCCGCCCCCCTCCCCCAAACGCCCTCTCCCTCCCTCCGTCCCCAAATCTCTCTGTCTCCTTCTCTTCTCTTCCTCCCTACCTCTCCCACTGAGACTTCCCCAAGCCTCTCCCTTCTCCCCCACCCTCTCCATCCATCCACTCGCCCCCTCCCACCTTGCATTTCCCAGCCTTCTACCTTCCCACTGCTCTATCTCCCACTCCCACTCGCTCGGCTGCCCCTGGCCTAGGGAAGGAGTGCTCCTGTGTGGACTGCTGGAAAGACGCAACCAGAACACAGATGAGTCAGACCAAAAGAACCTGTGCAGAGCACAGGGTTTCTTTATTGGCTCCACAGCATGTCCGTTCTTAGCCACCGTCTTGGTCACTGGAATCCTGCGATTCCTTGAGGCTTCAGGTGGTCTGTGCCTCTTGGAGGGGGCCCATGCTTCCCAAAGGTCCAGCTCTAGTGTATGTCCCCAAAGTTGCTGGTAGTCATCCCGTCTGTTTGCTCCCCACCGCCCCCCCCCACCTAAAATCTTCCCTACTCCACGACCTCCGTGGCTTGGCCTCTGAAGCAAGGAGACCTGAAGGGGCTCAGGGGAGATGGTGCCCCTTTCCTTCTTCTCCCTCTAAGCCCGAGGGCCTGGGGAGCCTGGCAGCATGTCCAGGAGTGCCTGGTAATCCTCCTCTCTGGGGGTGCCTCCAGGATTGCCTCAACTCCTTCTTCGTCCGCAGCGGCCCGCGGTGAAGACCAGGGCGTGTCCTGGATGGACGAGGCAGCCATGATTTCCTCTAGGAGGCTGGGAGACCCGGGGAGGGCTGGATGGTACCCTGGGATGACAGGAGAGGACCCCAGGGAAGGACCCGGCGAGCCCGGGATGCATGTGACGGCCAGGAGCTCATCTTGGAGGCTGGGTGAGCCTGGGAGGGCGAGGTGTGCTCCTGCATCTGCATAGGGCCCCAGGGAAGGCGCCTGCGAGGCCGCAATATCCGTGGCCTCCAAGAGCTGGCCTAGAAAGCTGGGTGTGCCTGGCAGGGCAGGGTGTGCTCCTGCATCTGCAGCGGCCCCCGGGGAAGGCGCCTGCGAGGACCCGAGGCCCGTGGCCTCCAAGAGCTCGTCTAGGAAGCTGGGTGGGTCTGGCAGGGCAGGGTGCACTCCTGCATCTGCACCGGGCTCCGGGGAAGGCGCCTGAGAGTCCTCGATGCCCGTGGCATCCAAGAGCTCGTCTAGGAAGCTGGTTGCAACTGGCAGGGCAGGGTGCGCTCCTGCATCTGCAGCGGCCCCCGGGGAAGGTGCCTGCCAGTCTGCGATGCCCGTGGCTTCCAAGAGCTCGTCAAGGAAGCTGGGTGCGTCTGGCAGGGCAGGGTGCACTTCTGAATCTGCAGCAGCCCCCGGGGAAGGCGCCTGCGTGTCCGGGATGCCTGTGGCCTCCACGAACTCTTCTAGGATGCTGGCTGTGCCTGGGAGGGCAGGGTGTGCTCCTGCATCCGCAGCAGCCCCCGGGGAAGGCGCCTGCCAGTCTGTGATGCCCATGGCCTCCAAGAGCTCGTCTAGGAAGCTGGGTGCGTCTGGCAGGGCAGGGTGCACTCGTGCATCTGCAGCGGCCCCCGGGCAAGGCGCCTGCATGTCCGGGATGCCCGTGGCCTCCACGAACTCTTCTAGGATGCTGGGTTCGCCTGGGAGGGCAGGGTGCACTCGTGCATCTGCAGCGTCCCCCGCGGAAGGCGCCTGCGTTTCCAGGATGCCGGTGGCCGCCAAGAGCTCATCTAGGAGGCTTGTCGATCTTGGAAGGCTGGGCGGATGGGGCTGTGGCTCTAGCAGAGGGGCCGTGCCTTCAGCAACGGGTGACTCTGGCCTCCGCCTGATGTGTGTCTCAGGCTGTAGAGGCGGCAGGATGGCCCCTGGCCCAGGCTGCCAAGGGGCCGTGTCAGCAGGGGAGCACGCGGCCCAGGGCACTGCTACCTGGGGAGGAGGTGGTGGCTTCTCACTTGGCTGGAGAGCCATCGGGCTGGGCTGGATCACGAAGAACATCAACGGCTGGCCCACAGAGACCCCAGAGGCAGTCCCGGGCACCCAGAAGGTGGGGGCGCCCAAAGGAGCGGCTGCAGCCAAGGGTGGCATGCTCTCCTGTGTCTGAGAGGGGCCAAGGGGAGGAGAGGTGCTGTGGACAGCGGGTGGGGCCCTTCGGTCCTCTGGAGCAGGAGCGGTCGTGGCCGATGCGCCGCCTGGTCCTCGGGCCCGGACATTGCCAGGCCCCCTTGCGCTCTGCTGGGGGTGCCGAGCTCTTCGGTTTTGAAACCATATCTAGGGGAGCAAAAGGCAGACAGGCACATCAGAAGCCGTGACCGTCCAGATCAACGTGCTGGCGCCTCCGCGGCACCCATTTGTCACCCCGCCTGGCGGCCCGTCCTCTGATCTGGCAGGCCCAGGGCGAGTTCTGCAGGGCCATTTTCTGCAAACGAATCCCTGGGCCCTGGGAGATGAGGGGCGCCTGCACGGCAACAAGCGGCACAAAACCCACCACTCAGCCCACCAACTTTCGGCCCCCTCCCCCCAGCCCAAGCCCCGGCCCAAGCCGACGTGTATCCAGCTCCAAACGCTTGGCAGGGCTGAACGCGCCCGTCTCCTGGGCCACGGCCTGGGCCCATGCGCTGGCTGGAGAACTTACCTGGATTCGAGGTTCTGGGATTCCCGTCTGACGAGCCAGTTCTTCCCTGGCAGCAATCCCTGGAAAGCGATCCCTCGTGAAGGCTTGCACAAGGATCCTTGTTTGAGAAGGAGAGATGGCTGTCCTCTTTCTCCTGGCCTCTCTGGCCGAGTCTTCTACCAAGGAAAGAACACACCGAGAGGAGAGGACTTTAAGGCCCATGGAACCTTGACAGCACAGATACCCTAGACGGTGTGCAGGGGCTGGACAGTCCCACACACCTGAATCACTTCAGGTGGCTCTGAAGCCGGGGCACGGTTCTACGGAATACACCCACAGATGGATCTCGTGCCTGGATCCATGGTGCAGGTGTGTGTGCACGTGCACATTCGGCACACATGCATGCCCCTGTGTGTCTCTTTGTTCGTCCGGACTTGCCGCGGAGTGCCCTGAAGCCTGCTCCTTGGCCAAGGTTGCCTGGGCAGCCGGAGGCTAAAGTTCCCGACGGGGACTCGGGAGGGGGTGCAAAGGGGGAACAGTGCTGCCCGTCCACGCCGCCTGGGGGCATGGTGGCCCTATCTGGGTCACTGATGGGGGACGCAACCAGATGGCCCTGTTTCCTCCCTGCTTGGTGTTTCTGAGCCTCCGGTGGTCATCCACCAGCAGAGAGAATTCTCTGTCAAGAGGGGGAGGATTCGGGACCCCCCTCTGGGGGTCTTGCCTTTGCAGAACGCTGGGTAACTTACCTTGAGTGGAAGACTGAGGTCGACGAGGTGTCGACGGTGGCCTGGCCGTGGACCCTGGCGCCCCTTCCCCGTCTTGGCGCATATTTGCAGACGGCGATCGGCTCTGCTTTAACCGTCTTCTTCGTTGGTTCTGAAACCAGACCTAGGGGCAAACAGAGAGAATACGTTCTCAAGAGAAAGGCCTCCGGGTGCTTTCTGCTGACGCGGATCGGCACGGGGAGCCTGAGAGGGAGAACGGGTGGAGAGAGGGGGCCCTACCTGAACTCTGCTTTCGGCAATGCCAAGCTCTCGGGCCAGTCGTTCTCTGGTCGCTATCCCAGGGTAGGGGTTCTGTTGAAAGAGCGCTTGCAGGGTGTCCTTCTGGCTCAGCTTCAGAACGAGCCTCCTCCTTCGAGATCCTCTGGCGATGGGGCCTGTGGAAGAGACGAAAGGGAAAAGTCTCAGAGGACGTGGGGTTTGGAGAGGACTCGACGGAAGTGCCCAAGCATGCTCCCCACCCAGGGCAGTTGCCCCTGTGCCTCAGCAAAGCCGGGAGCCCGGGGACGCCTCTGCATTTGGAAGTCACTTGACTACACCCCGAGTGACAGGCCGAGAGTCAAGGGCAGTGGGGAAATCCCCCAACCCCCGACCCACGCTGGAGTCCGAGGAACACCAGCAAGCAGAAAGGAAGCCAAACCCGCCCCTGAAACAAAGCTGGCAAGAAATCCCACCCACCAAAGACCAGCACACCATGCAGCCTGTCTGCAGAGACATTTTTCCACCTGCCTCAGCAGATGCCTGGGAAATGTCTTGATGGGGCCTCTCCCAAAATTCCCTCCATCACAATGCCAATGGAGGGGAACCTGGCTTCTCGGGGCTAAGAGGAGCCCAGGCCATATTTGCCGTCACTAGGGGAACAGGAAAGGAAGAGGGAAGGAAGCCAAGGCGAAGCCCAACATGCAACGCCTGACGGAAGACAGAAGGCACTAGGCCATTGTGGACAGAAAGCCACTGAAGTTGGCAAAGCCACAGAGCTCCCCGACGTCCATTTCCATGGCAAGATGAGGAAATAGGGCCCCATGCCAGTTCCCCTACCGGCCCCCCTAACACACAACCAACACCATCATCACAGAAGAGAAAGGAGAAGCCATGTGTGTGCCAAAGGAGCCAAACGACCAAACGGTGCCTCTCTGGGCACACCTGACGCCTGGAAACCAGGGGCACAGCCGATCGGTCCCTGGCTTTCTTGGCGGTCAGTCGACACGTTTGCAGTGAACCCTTGGCCGGGCTATCCACAGACCCACCCCCCACCCCCACCCCGAGACCTGATCCGACCCCAGGGAGCGAGGGCAAACGTACCGCCTGAGGTGCTGGAGGAGCTGGACGAAGCCATGGTGGGAGAGCCACAGGGACGCTGCAGACTGCCTTCTCAGTGGGCCAGGACCCAGCTGCTCGGGACTTTGGATAGGGTGAGGCAGCTCCGTCCCTATTGACGTCAATCCTTGTGGGTGCATAGTCAGAAGGGACGCCCCTGGCCGCCAAGCAGAGACCCTGGAAAGAATCCCGTGGAGCCAGTGGGCTTTCACGGGCACGGCCCGCGACCCAGACTCCCAAGGTCCACGTTGGCCTGGGGGCGGTGGTCGTTGGGGGTTTTGGTGTGTGGCCCTGCCACGCAGCAGCTGGAATCAACCCCAGGCTCGGGGGCCCTCCGCAGTGCACAGAGTCCTAACTGCACGGGAATTCCCCTAGGTCCCTTTGAAGTTGCCGCCCACGCCCCCTTTCCCAGCCTGCCTTGCCTTCCGAAACGCCCTGGCTTTTCCCGCCTTTTCACATTCCACATATACGTTGGACTCAATGGCCTCCGCCGGCTCCTCCGGAGCATTCCCGGACACTGGACGCTCTCTCCAGTGCCTCCTCCTAGCTGCCTTAAATCCTTGCCTCCCTTTTCCACATTCCTCCCCACCTCCTCGGTGCCCCCCTGGCATCCTTTCCCGACAGCAGTCCCAGTCCACCGCCCTGCCCACACCCACCCCACGCCCACCCCCACCAAATACACCCAAGTCTTTGACTTGCCAGAAACCCAAGTCTACTGCGAGAGATGTGATGGGCCAGTGTCTCGAATGGCAACTCACACCGTTTGGGGCTTTTTCAGGTGCACCCTGATGCTTGCACCTCCCCAGCCCACCCCCTACTCAAAGTGCCCTGGGGAGACCTCGGAAACGGGACACTGTACCCACTACTCTTAGGAAGGTGGTTCCACTAAGCCAAGGAAGGAAGCATGCACGTTCTGGACGGAGAGGCGCCCTGACCTGTGCCAACAACTGGACGTGGAAATAGTGTGTGCTTTCTTAAAGAAACGGAGGGCAGAGAGGAGAAGGAGGAGGGAATCAGGAGGCAGGAGCAGACACAGGAGGGAGGAGGTTGCATGAGGCCACACGGGGGATGGCTCTGAACAGGTTCCAATGAATTGAAAAGAAATGAACGAACCACAACACCACACCCACAGCCATCTTTCCCAATGGATTCTTTGGCCACGCAGGTCTCTAAAGCCAACCACGGGGGCTTCACATGGGAACAGTCAGGGGGTTGTATGTACATCGAATCCACCGTGTCTATGAATTCAGGAACGGGTTTGCAAGGAAATCATGCCTGTATGTCTGCGGGTGATGCGGGGATGCTGGTGGCAGGGCGAGCTGAGTCACTACACCGTGAGGATCAGAGAGACACACGGAGATGATTGGCCTTTGCAGCTCTACCAGGCATGTGTGTTGACATGGAGTCTGGTCGTGAAAGCGGTTGTGTGGGTAGGTCCCTACTGCTGGCTCAGAGGATCTGACCTCGGGAAACCCGCCCAGACCAGGCACCCCGAAACCGAGGGAAGCATGTCCCTGACGGAGTATTTTAGGGATACCTGCAGGGATGGCCAGTGGCTAGAAGCTGAGTCCCAGACGGGGGCCCCGCCCCCCTCCCCCAAACGCCCTCTCCCTCCCTCCGTCCCCAAATCTCTCTGTCTCCTTCTCTTCTCTTCCTCCCTCCCTCTCCCACTGAGCCTTCCCCAAGCCTCTCCCTTCTCCCCCACCCTCTCCCTCCATCCACTCGCCCCCTCCCACCTTGCGTTTCCCAGCCTTCTACCTTCCCACTGCTCTATCTCCCACTCCCACTCGCTCGGCTGCCCCTGGCCTAGGGAAGGAGTGCTCCTGTGTGGACTGCTGGAAAGACGCAACCAGAACACAGATGAGTCAGACCAAAAGAACCTGTGCAGAGCACAGGGTTTCTTTATTGGCTCCACAGCATGTCCGTTCTTAGCCACCGTCTTGGTCACTGGAATCCTGCGATTCCTTGAGGCTTCAGGTGGTCTGTGCCTCTTGGAGGGGGCCCATGCTTCCCAAAGGTCCAGCTCTAGTGTATGTCCCCAAAGTTGCTGGTAGTCATCCCGTCTGTTTGCTCCCCACCGCCCCCCCCTCCCCCACCTAAAATCTTCCCTACTCCACGACCTCCGTGGCTTGGCCTCTGAAGCAAGGAGACCTGAAAGGGGCTCAGGGGAGATGGTGCCCCTTTCCTTCTTCTCCCTCTAAGCCCGAGGGCCTGGGGAGCCTGGCAGCATGTCCAGGAGTGCCTGGTAATCCTCCTCTCTGAGGGGTGCCTCCAGGATTGCCTCAACTCCTTCTTCGTCCACAGCGGCCCGCGGTGAAGACCAGGGCGTGTCCTGGATGGACGAGGCAGCCATGATTTCCTCTAGGAGGCTGGGAGACCCGGGGAGGGCTGGATGGTACCCTGGGATGACAGGAGAGGACCCCAGGGAAGGACCCGGCGAGCCCGGGATGCATGTGACGGCCAGGAGCTCATCTTGGAGGCTGGGTGAGCCTGGGAGGGCGAGGTGTGCTCCTGCATCTGCATAGGGCCCCAGGGAAGGCGCCTGCGAGGCCGCAATATCCGTGGCCTCCAAGAGCTGGCCTAGAAAGCTGGGTGTGCCTGGCAGGGCAGGGTGTGCTCCTGCATCTGCAGCGGCCCCCGGGGAAGGCGCCTGCGAGGACCCGAGGCCCGTGGCCTCCAAGAGCTCGTCTAGGAAGCTGGGTGGGTCTGGCAGGGCAGGGTGCACTCCTGCATCTGCACCGGGCTCCGGGGAAGGCGCCTGAGAGTCCTCGATGCCCGTGGTATCCAAGAGCTCGTCTAGGAAGCTGGTTGCAACTGGCAGGGCAGGGTGCGCTCCTGCATCTGCAGCGGCCCCCGGGGAAGGTGCCTGCCAGTCTGCGATGCCCGTGGCTTCCAAGAGCTCGTCAAGGAAGCTGGGTGCGTCTGGCAGGGCAGGGTGCACTTCTGAATCTGCAGCAGCCCCCGGGGAAGGCGCCTGCGTGTCCAGGATGCCTGTGGCCTCCACGAACTCTTCTAGGATGCTGGCTGTGCCTGGGAGGGCAGGGTGTGCTCCTGCATCCGCAGCAGCCCCCGGGGAAGGCGCCTGCCAGTCTGTGATGCCCATGGCCTCCAAGAGCTCGTCTAGGAAGCTGGGTGCGTCTGGCAGGGCAGGGTGCACTCGTGCATCTGCAGCGGCCCCCGGGCAAGGCGCCTGCATGTCCGGGATGCCCGTGGCCTCCACGAACTCTTCTAGGATGCTGGGTTCGCCTGGGAGGGCAGGGTGCACTCGTGCATCTGCAGCGTCCCCCGCGGAAGGCGCCTGCGTTTCCAGGATGCCGGTGGCCGCCAAGAGCTCATCTAGGAGGCTTGTCGATCTTGGAAGGCTGGGCGGATGGGGCTGTGGCTCTAGCAGAGGGGCCGTGCCTTCAGCAACGGGTGACTCTGGCCTCCGCCTGATGTGTGTCTCAGGCTGTAGAGGCGGCAGGATGGCCCCTGGCCCAGGCTGCCAAGGGGCCGTGTCAGCAGGGGAGCACGCGGCCCAGGGCACTGCTACCTGGGGAGGAGGTGGTGGCTTCTCACTTGGCTGGAGAGCCATCGGGCTGGGCTGGATCACGAAGAACATCAACGGCTGGCCCACACAGACCCCAGAGGCAGTCCCGGGCACCCAGAAGGTGGGGGCGCCCAAAGGAGCGGCTGCAGCCAAGGGTGGCATGCTCTCCTGTGTCTGAGAGGGGCCAAGGGGAGGAGAGGTGCTGTGGACAGCGGGTGGGGCCCTTCGGTCCTCTGGAGCAGGAGCGGTCGTGGCCGATGCGCCGCCTGGTCCTCGGGCCCGGACATTGCCAGGCCCCCTTGCGCTCTGCTGGGGGTGCCGAGCTCTTCGGTTTTGAAACCATATCTAGGGGAGCAAAAGGCAGACAGGCACATCAGAAGCCGTGACCGTCCAGATCAACGTGCTGGCGCCTCCGCGGCACCCATTTGTCACCCCGCCTGGCGGCCCGTCCTCTGATCTGGCAGGCCCAGGGCGAGTTCTGCAGGGCCATTTTCTGCAAACGAATCCCTGGGCCCTGGGAGATGAGGGGCGCCTGCACGGCAACAAGCGGCACAAAACCCACCACTCAGCCCACCAACTTTCGGCCCCCTCCCCCCAGCCCAAGCCCCAGCCCAAGCCGACATGTATCCAGCTCCAAACGCTTGGCAGGGCTGAACGCGCCCGTCTCCTGGGCCACGGCCTGGGCCCATGCGCTGGCTGGAGAACTTACCTGGATTCGAGGTTCTGGGATTCCCGTCTGACGAGCCAGTTCTTCCCTGGCGGCAATCCCTGGAAAGCGATCCCTCGTGAAGGCTTGCACAAGGATCCTTGTTTGAGAAGGAGAGATGGCTGTCCTCTTTCTCCTGGCCTCTCTGGCCGAGTCTTCTACCAAGGAAAGAACACACCGAGAGGAGAGGACTTTAAGGCCCATGGAACCTTGACAGCACAGATACCCTAGACGGTGTGCAGGGGCTGGACAGTCCCACACACCTGAATCACTTCAGGTGGCTCTGAAGCCGGGGCAGGGTTCTACGGAATACACCCACAGATGGATCTCGTGCCTGGATCCATGGTGCAGGTGTGTGTGCACACATGCACACTCGGCACACATGCATGCCCCTGTGTGTCTCTTTGTTCCTCCGGACTTGCCGCGGAGCGCCCTGAAGCCTGCTCCTTGGCCAAGGTTGCCTGGGCAGCCGGAGGCTAAAGTTCCCGACGGGGACTCGGGAGGGGGTGCAAAGGGGGAACAGTGCTGCCCGTCCACGCCGCCTGGGGGCATGGTGGCCCTATCTGGGTCGCTGATGGGGGACGCAACCAGATGGCCCTGTTTCCTCCCTGCTTGGTGTTTCTGAGCCTCCGGTGGTCATCCACCAGCAGAGAGAATTCTCTGTCAAGAGGGGGAGGATTCGGGACCCCCCTCTGGGGGTCTTGCCTTTGCAGAACGCTGGGTAACTTACCTTGAGTGGAAGACTGAGGTCGACGAGGTGTCGACGGTGGCCTGGCCGTGGACC